CCTATTAACTGTACTCCCTTATAATTACCTGTTGCGCTATCGACGTGAAGCTACTCTTTCCTTCAGGCATGTGAAGTGGTGAGCAGCAATCAAGCTCTCTTAAGCCACCCCAGCTCCTACCTTGTAGCTTTATGTGCCTCAAAGCTTCCTTCCACAAGCACAGATTCCAGCTGTCTAAGCTTCAAGTTTCTTACCTTCCTTGGTCAAAGATCCAAATGGTAAGAATGACACCCACCCAAACTGATTTAGGACCAAAAGCTGGTCCCAGTGCTAGATAAAGGCAACACTTAACTGCTTGAGGAACACACCATGCCTTTCCTAGGTGAGCCTGACAAAGTAAATGCAAGTAACTATAGAATTAAAACATATCAAAAAAAAATACAGAGGAACAGTAGAGAGATCATCCACTTCTTCCATTTTGGTGATGAAGAAATGAAGGCTCTTAGGGCAGAAGCCACTTATCTCACAGCACAGACAAATCAGAGGTAGCATCCAAATCAACAGTCCAATAAGATACAACTGTTTTAGAGGTTTTCTAATGCTGTCAAGATAAACACAGGGCACAGTCAGACTCATAGTGTAAGTTAAACTATGGAGCTAAAATAGGCCAAACAGATTCCAGTTTGAAAAGTAGAGCAGGGTGGATATTGAAAAGTACAGCAGGCGAAAAATTTGGAGGCAGAAACAACCAAGGTCCAGGAAGATATACACTGATTTGCTAACCATGTTTCATCAGGGTATGGTTCATTTTCTTCAGTTAACTGAATTTTCTACTTTCTAAATGAATGCATATTGCTTTTGAAATAAAAGCTGTTTGATTACTTTACTCCGTAATGCATTTGATGGAGGGAGCATGGTGTAAGAGAAAAAGTATGATGGATTTGGAGATCGGGCAAATGAAGAGTTCTGAAAACATTCTACCAGTCAACAGGACTGGGACCTTGGGCACATTACTGGCCTATCTGAGCCTCAGCTCCTATATTTGGCAACTTGATAATGATAACCTTGCAAATATGAGGCTTTTTAGGGCAAGAAATAACACAGTACAATGTCTCACACATAACAGATGCATAAGACCCTGGAAAGTAACATCTGAACCGTATTTGCACTGGCGGTTACATTCTAAACCATTAAATGATGCTTCTGCCCTTGCAAAGATGATGTCCTGTCATATGTGGACACAAGTAAACAAAGCATAGCTGAGTGGTAGCTGGTTTCTGGGTTCTGAAAGAGGCTAAGCACCAATGTGAAAGGAATAGCTTTTCCACTGTCCAGTTCACCTCTTGAGTGTTTTGACTAACCAAAGCTGGATGTCAACTGTCAAGTACAAGCAAGTAGAAACTACAATATAAATCAGGACAAGCTTTTTATTTATTTATTTATTTATTTACTTTAAGAGACTGCTTTCATCAATAATAGTGAGAAGTTTCTGAGAGCAATGCAGGGAACTCAACAGTGAATCTTCACTGTTCTCCAACAAGAGCTTCAAGGACACTGAGGGGCAGCAGTAACTCTGGACTGGGAATGAGCACCTGTTCCTTTCCCAGCTCTGTGATGACATAGTTGTGATTTCTCTCTCCCAATCTTGGCTTCCCTTCTGTAGAATGGGATGCTTGAACCAGATGAATCTCAGCTTTAAAATCCTCCAGTCCTGCTCCCACACACTTACAAGGCCTCCTGTGGCCAGAGCCCAAGCTCTTGCAGCACACGTCACCCTCTTCCCAGCATGCTCCATCTGCTCTGGCTGAACATCTCCAGGCTCACTCAGGGCTTCTCCTCTGCTTGGCTCTGCAGAGCATATGGGGTGTTAGGTTCCCCCTTCCACTTACCCACTCCGTGCTGGCCTGGCAGACTCAACACGAATCTCACCTACCGTGACAAGTTTTCTCTGACCGTTTCTTTCATTCTAACCTTCCCAGCCTTTCAATTATTGTTTAAGATGCCTTTATAACACTTTTGGTTTAGACTAGGAAACACATAGAAGGCAGGGCTCCAAGTGTGAGACCACTGCCTTATACTGCAAATCCTGAACCATCCTTTGCTCTGCTGGGGAAAAAGTACCACTACTATCTCCTAGAACTGCTGGGAATAGGAGACAATGAGATAGTGCCCAGCATTCAGACTAGAATTAATCAGGAGCTCAGGTGCTAATTTCCTTCCTTTCCTCCCTCTATTGCTAGTGACTACTCTTCCCTATAGGGCGATCTCCTGAAAAATGTGTTCATTTGGGAGATGAAAATCTAAGATGAGCTATAACCTAAAAGGAACTTGGGCAAGTCACAACTTCCTGGCAGTTTACATTATTTCACATGAAAATAATGGTATTTGTTTTTGTCTTAGGATAGGATGATAAAGTGATATAATACATGAGAAAGCACTTTCTTTTGAAGAGCTACCAGCTTATTATTTTCATACATCCTGGATTCCAAAAGAAAAATCTTAAAACAACACAACAGACAGCAAGATGTCAATGTTAACGGGTGATTTCATGATGACTGTGAAAATCCAACTCTTGATACAGGCTAGAAATATCAGAAAGTTGTATTACTGTTCCTTAGGGTAGAAAAGCACAGACACTGAAAAGATTGGGAAGCTTTCTGTTTTGAACATAATCACCTGGGGCACTGCTCATCTCCCATGCTGGTATATTTTCTAAGTCAAACAATATCAAACATACCTGGGGAACTTTGTGAACCTCACAATCTGGACATTTAACAGTGCTAACTCCAGATTAACATTATGAGATTAAGACTTTCGTATATTTGTAAATGAACTTCGTTTTAATTATTTCTTCTGCCTTAAAGTATAACATAGTTAGAGATGGGAAAAACAGAATAGAAGAGTCTCCAAAATAAAGTGTTTTTTTTTTAATTAATAGACATAGGGCCAGTATGTAATGTAATACAAGGTAAAGAAGAACTACTGTATATGGCAGGGATTAAAATATATCTGTGAAGGGTCATATGGTAGGGATTAAAATATATCTATGGTCACTTCTATTCCTAAGTTATTTTGTGAAAATAATATGAGGAATAAGATTAAAGGATAGTAAATCAGTGAAATGTGTTTTAGAAGAAAAAATTTCTGCAATAATGAAAAAGCACCCACCATTATTGCTAACAAAATATATTTTAGAATTATCACTCAAAGGATCCTGTTTTTCTTCCATTTTAGAATGCAATCATTCAAACAGGAAAGTAAGTAGAGGGGTGTGTGGTATAAATGAGAGAGAAAGTGTATTTGGTATGTGCATGTGTGTTGGGCCAGGGCAGAGATTAAATTGCATCGTGCATGTCTTATAATAGTATTAGTTTATAAAGTCAACTAAGGAACACCTATCCAAATCAAATCACCACTTTAACAAGAAGTCATACAAAAATGTATTCTTATTTTCCTTTGCTGAACACCTAAGTACATTTTTTAAAACACTTCTGCTTTATTACTACATATAAATATGCCCTGGCCATAATTTGTAATACTTTTTTATAAATGGCTGCAAGAGATCTCATGAATCACTAATTCATGCATATAAATGTGGTTTGCTTAAATATTTCTATACAAAATCCTACCTTCCTGCTATTTCTAGAAAAAAAATAGAATAAAGAAAAGAGAATACTTATTATAAAGTATGACTCTCTTGAAATTAAGCCTATTTTGTTTTGAGCATCAACTTGTTTCTGGTACCATGGTTAAAAAGAACTATGTCTAGAAAGACTATAATGGTTGATTGGCTTAAAAAAAAACATCTTATAACCAAAGAAAGCAATGATTACAAATGATTAGCAACATTCCAAAGTTGCTTTTTGAGTATTCCCTTAAACTCCTTTACCTACCAATTCTCACCTCACACCAGTGTTAGGTTTATGCCAAACAAACCAGGACTACAAAGTCTAGAAAAGATCTGAAGAGCATACTACCCAAATATACTCCAAATCTCTAAAGTCTTTCAGACCCTGCCTTGATTGGGTATATTAAAATACATAATAGAACTTTCCTGAAAGTGAACACGTTTTACAGCTGCTTGGAACATACTATAGAATTTAATAACAATGGTTATTTTCTAAAACCTCTGTCACTAAAAGAAAAATATTATTAAATAATATGTGTACAATCTCAGTTCAATTTTCCACAAAAATTGAAAAGATGCAACAATCATGTGGACAAATGAATGACTAATAAATAATGCTTTAAATATAATGAAAAAGACAGTGGATATTTCTTGAAAATTAGATACAGATCACTATAGTATCACTTTATTAGCATAATCAGTAAATTATAGCCTTATAAATTAAAGGAAAAGCTCTTTTTTATGGCTTATTTTAAAACAAGGGGGGAAAACTTCAAATTATTTTAGTTACTTTGATGTCCTTATATTTGTACTTCTTCAAGAAACAGTTTATCATAACAAATACTAAGGAAATGTTTAGATGGTTGTGTATTTCTTACATCTAGAAACCTATGGAAAATGTTCATTTCCCCAGAGATGTCATCATTCTTAGCCACCTAAACAAAATGCAAAATACAATTTAGCAACAAGCCTTTTAAATAACTCAGTATCTTTAAATACTTAAAAGATAAGCCTATATTGATTGAAATTTTAAGTTGAAGTTTAAGAAAAACAGTCTATGCTATAATCATAACACAATGGAGACATGTAATATTGTTTGAGCCGAATATTTATTTAAATAAAAATTAAAACAGTGCTGAATTAAATACCAACCATTCTTAATCATAGTTTAAGTCTGACAACCAAAATCAAAAATTTAAAGCCTTACAAAATATGTCTCACAAACTAACCAATACAAAGCTCTAAGCTTTAAACTTTTTGATAGTGTCAATAAAATCTCCAGGAAAGGAGAATACTGCAACTCTCCTTGGAACATAGGTGCTTTAAATCATGGTTAAACAGACAGAATGTTAAGAATGGCATGGTTTTTATTTTCTATAGAAGGTTTATTGACACTTTTTTTTCCTAATAAAGTTTGAAAATCTGACACTACCTGTCCACATAGAAGGGGAAACAAAACTTGGTCAAAGTCTGTAGAACTTCCTGTGGAGAGAAAGAGAGATAATTTATACATCTAATGGGACCAATAAATCTAACATTAAGCACAGCACACAATCTAGCAACTTTACCCTGAAGAAAAAGGAGACAGATGAAGAAATATGGGCTTTATCAATTACATGGGAGGAGTACCAGGCAGTCAATCATGAGAAATAATAAACATGATCAAACTTCATTAAAAATGAAAAATTAATCAAGAATCACACATGGGCAAGCAGCAGGAGCCATGCAGGAAAGCTCTGAAGGGAGGGAGGCGGTTGGGTTGCTGAGTGTTAACACCCCTCCAGGGACCATCTCCAGCCTGACCATATGGATCAGAGTGAATAACACCGAGCCACATGGGTTTGGCCTGGCAGGGCCGCTGTTGCTGGCACTGTTTTTGCCTGTTACCTAGGAACAGAGGGGGCCGGGATTAGACAGCGCTTCCTAACATCAATAGGCCAAATCATAGCAGAATAAAAAGCCAACTTGAAGATAATTGTCCCTGAACACTGTCAACTACATCTTTAGAGTTGTAAACTTTATTTACTCACTTTATTAAAAAACATTGCCATTTCTGGCATAACTTGATTTTGGAATCAAATGGTAACCATTGTAAGTAAGTACTATTTTTAGTTAAATATCACTATTATAATTGGACGTACTTACCTGCTTATAATTTATGAAAATTCAAAGCAAACTATCAGCTTAAATATCATTTGCACAAACAAAGAGGTCCATAAAACCAAGGACAATTATTCAAGAGGGGGTACAAAAAATGGGAGTTGCATCTCAAAGACTTATTCATAAAGACACTTTTCTTACAATAAGACAACAATAAACACTGGCACAAGATTCAAGATATAGTCATGCGGGACTCTCCCTAACAGACACATTCCACATATACTGCATATATCAACAGAGCTAATCACAGATACAAGTAATTACTACTTCTTCCACAGAGTTCTCTTTAGTGTGACTTAATTTAACTGCAGGCTTGCATAGTGCACAGTTGGTGCTTATAAGTTCATAGACCAATGTCATAAATTTTCAAAGTATGCCTTTCACGTATTTGATTTGCCTTTTAACTATTTAAAATCTCAACTTTTAAGAGAAAATGAAGAACACATTTTTCAATTCCTGAGAAGCTGGTTTAAATTAAAACAAACTTGCCCATTGCAAATCCTAATCCAAGTGATAAATTAAAGATCAGTTTACAAATGTAGCACTTTTTTAACCAATAATAATGAATTATCAATGCTAACTGAATTGATGCTTCTCGCTTCATTTATTTTTAAAACCAGTTCTATCATTCAAGAAATAAACCACATCAATCTAATAACCCACTCAATGAAGCAGAAAGCACATTGACTTGCCTGCCAGAGCATGTTCTGCCTACATAATTCAATTGAGCATATCCTATTTTTAATATCATCTTAGACTGGTAGTACATATATCACAGCACTGTTAAGGCATGTCACAAAAGAGTAATGAATAGGAAAGTAAAAAATGAAAAAGAGTGAACAAGAATACCTCAGCATATTCTCACAGGCATCGCTTATAAATTAGTTAATTTATAATGTCACATGTGTGCGCACACACACCCACACACATATACACACACATATATTTATGGACAGAGGGCAAGAGAGGGAAGAGGAGGTTTTTAAGTCAATTGTTTAAATACACTGCAATAACTAATAGAGAATCAAGAGCAATTCTCAGGGCATAATATTATTAGGCAGATACTGAAAAACAGATAACATAAAACATTCATTTTTAACATCTATAGTTTTAATTGTAATACATACTACAATCCACATACATCAAAGTCATATGACTTCCATCCTTCCCCTGCCCTAAATCCTTCTATTTCAAGTTTCAAATAACATCATAAAGAACCTCTTAACTTCAGTATATGTACCAAGTATTCTTTAAAACTCAGTACCAAGTGTTCACTCATTGCCAATATCAGCTACAAAGACAGTTATCTTTTACCCCTCAAAAGTTTCAGGTGCAGAAAGCACTTCTCTACTCTATGCTGGAGTTGCACTGGCAAAAGGCCTCAAAGATTTTTGCAAGAAAGAACCCCCATGGCTACAAGGAAGCATTGTGCTCTGCAGCAGAGTCAAAGGAATCTAATATACCCAACTTATTACTCACTACAAGATAGAAACTACTTACCACTTTCTAATGTCAAGAGTAATAACCAACCTTGAACTTGTCTGTCAGATAATATCAGAATACCAAAATATCCAACATAGATTCAATGTTAACTCACTTCCCACGGGCTTTCCCTTTTACCCAAGAAGGAAATGATGAGTCTAATTAAGCGATGGGGTGGGGAAGGGGCCTTAAAGGCAAATGCATGCACATGTTTGTACATGACAATATGTTTCTTCATCTTTGTGACATTGCAAGAGCTTCATATTCCAACTTAAGTCAAACAAGATGGTAGTGTGCTGTCACAGGAAAACAAAAATGAGCATCTACTTGGTGCTAGGCATATTTACACAGGATCTCAATCAGAATTGAACTAAGTTTGGGGGGAAAACAGCTAAGAAGATGATGAAGAAAAAAAGCAATGTTCTGTGTAAATAAAATGTGCTAAAATAAACCAATCTTCTAATAGTGATACTTTCTTCGTATACAAATATTCAAGTTTTTATCCTCTGTCAGAGGGAAAACACAAGACCATTCTTCAAGGGAGAGAGCTTCTAAACTTTTTTTTTTTTTTTTTTTTTTTTGGTCTTTTTCCTTTTTATCAGTACCAGGGATCGAACTCACAACCGCCTGCTTGCAAGGCAGGTGCTTATGCCACTGAGCTAAATCCCCAGCCCGAGTTTCCAAACTCTTGATTTAAATCTGTTTGGAGCTTTCTGGTTTATGGCAGAGTGTCCCAGAGTCTCTCAATATTAACTTTTCCTGGGGAACAGTCATAACACCCTTTTTTAACTCTGGCTAGGGAACTTTCATTGTACTAGCAATTTTCCTGTTTGCTTCTCCACGAAGACAACCAGCCTCAGTACAACTTCAACTACTGCCACACAAATGGGATCTCAGAGATGCAGCACAGCTGATGAAATGTAAATGACCTCATTGCTAAGGCAGGGGGTGGGGAGGATTTTGTGCCTGCTCTCCAGATCAATTCCCATGTTTATATTTGCACAATCTTTTTATGTACAGTTTGATTTTTTAACATTTTAATGAGCAAAAAAGTGAATCTATAGTAGCCAGTCACAACAGTTAAAGTGCAGGGCATGAACTAGATCCCAGGAGGGAACCAGTCCACCATGTCACCACTGGCTTTAGGACATTCGCCACCTGGTTCCATGTCCCCAGGTTCCAACTCTTTTCATAATCAAAACACTGCTGACATTATAAACCCCAGACGGGTTTTCTAAAATCCCTCCCAATCAATATATCCAACACATAACTTATTGGAGACAACACTGAGCTCATTGATTAAGGTGAGTTCAGTAGCAAAGTTTTCAAAATAAATGAGACAAGAATACAGCATCCAGCCCCTTTGTGTCACCAGACAATTTATGAAATAGGCAATTTCCAAAAGGGCTTTTCTTTCTAACAAAATATATGATACTTCATGTAGGAGGAACAGGAGCAGAGGGGGCAGGGAAGTCGTGCTGTGGGAAGGCAGTTGTACAAACCCTTCAGTTATGCATATATTAAATAGCAGATTGCACTGCGTAGCAGAAAAGAAATATCCACAAAGCTCTATTCAGAAGGAGATCCCAAGCTTCTTAGTAGGAACCAAATATGAAATTAACACACATGATACTGCTATGATTGCAAATGAAATTCAGAAATGAACCCAAGATTCACCTCAATGTACTCTGGATTCATTTTTACCTAACACAAATTCTCACAGGCCAAAAAGCTCATCAAAGGAATTTTCTTCAATCTTGAAAAAGTAGATTATGTTCTGGCACTAAGCCATTCTCTTGGAAATCTAGTAAAGTTCTAAATTTATAATATTATCCATTGTAGAGTCCTACCTGGAAGCAAAACTTTCAAGACTAAATTCAATGAAGTTAGCTGGGGTTTTTAATCATGAGAAGACTCAACTAATCCACTCTGAACTGGGGGAGGGGGATAGGAACCCTTATAACAGCCATCCATTCAATGTCAAGTACTGTTTTCATTGCTTCTCTGAAACCTATGAACAAAAATTATGTAGTTTTATTTGGTAGATGAAAACAACTGACAATCAGATACAGACACACATACCATTCCACAAATAAATGCCATGTGAAAGATAAAAGTGCAGGCTGATTGTAGTGTTCAGTGGAGTTACAGAATGTTGAGAGATGAGACACATTCTCAATAGTTCAAAGGGGAAATACGTGTGCAGGGAAAACATTTAAATAAAGAGAGTGAATAAATGAATGTATTTTAAAATATGTAAAGCCACAATTAGCCTCTTTGTGGCTTGCCTAAAGGTGACAGAGCAGTTGATAATTTACCTTGTCCAAGTAAAGAGAGTAAAAGCAAGAAAAGAGGAAAGCTGGTAGGAGAAATGTCCTGTGTTTCTTATATCTACTTGTTCATTTCAAAATGTAGGTATGTGATGAAAAGATCAGCTTGCAGCTTAAATTCATAAAATACTATGCTTAAGTTTTTTTTTAATTGCATGAGGGAAATGCTGACCCTCTGAGTCCTGCCACTGAGAGCAGTGCCACTGACTTAAAAGCAAAGCCTTTGATTGATGATCTTAAAACTCAAGTTGAAACTTAAAAACAGAACACATAAAAAACCCAAACACACAAAAAGGTAACAAAATTTCTACTTTAAGTCACTCCAAGTTAAAACCAGGAACTCCCAAGGAAAAGCAAAAAAGGTTTTAAATGTTTCTGATTAAGAAGGGTAAAGCAGAAGTTCCTGGAAGCTTAATTAGCATCAAGTGTAAGAATGTTGATCAGAAGTTTCCTAAATGTGAAAACAGGAAGTAAAAATTTTGTCTCCTTCACTGTAAGTGTCAAATTAAA